CGTATAAGCCGGTTCGATAAAGCCGGAACCGATAGCTCGTGTGTGTCCCGTTAACACCTCGACGAAATCGTCGCGAACTGTTATACTGTACGCACCGTCTACAAGGCATTGCGCACAGATTTGCATTGGTTGAGTGCGCTTTTCTATGGAAGGTTGCAATAAAATGTAAATTTAACGACACAGTCCAAAACGATTCATCGTAAAATTTATTTAGTGTAATTTATAGATCGTATCGACAAAAAGAAAAACATCGTTTCTTTATTTATTGACCAACCCAATTAGTTGCAATCTAAGAAATTTTTTGTATACAAAATTCTCTAGAAAACTAGACGGTCTAAACCAATTTTAATCAACTATTTCATTCTCTATGAGAAGTGTCCAAGTTACTCTCATTATACTGTATACGTTTGATTTTTTTCATATGTTGTTGAATTATATAATTCAAAAAGATTGTTAAATATATATAGTTAAATTATATAATTTAATATAATTAAATATATTGAATAGAATCAAATATATTAAACCATATATATAAATAAATATATAATTTAATACAGAATATCGAAGTACATATCCTTCTCAACCACACTACATTCATTAAAAAAACAGCTAACCGGTTAAAACAGTTACTCTCATATCATTATTAAGTGAGACGCGATCGTGAAAACATGGCTACCGATGATAATGCCAGACCACATGCTGCTTTGGCGACTCGTCAGAAAATCGCAGAGCTAGGCTGGGAAATTCTGTCGCATCCACCATACTCCCCGGACCTAGCACCCTCCGATTATCACTTGTTTCTCTCTTTGCAAAACTTTTTACAGGAAAAAAATTCAAAACCGAAGCTGATGTCAACCGAGCACTAGTTGAGTTCTTCGTCTCTAAAAATAAATCGTTTTTTAAAAATGGCATTCACAAGTTGCCATCACGCTGGCAAGAAGTCATAAGTAACGATGAAAAGTATATTCTACAATAAATATTATTAAATGTATGAAAATTGTGTTATATTTCAATTCAAAAACGAACAGAACTTTCCGGTAGACCTAATATAATCGAAGTTCCATCGTACCACCTAAAGTAGTACACGCGACTCTCTGAAAAGCGCGCGTGAAATCACCGATCCCGGTTCACGCAACAACCCAATTAATTCGTTCGAAACACCGAACACTCCCTGCTCATTAAGCGGACTCTATAATAATGAGAAAGGATTTGCTACACAGTTGAACATAGCGGGGCCGGCCTCGGACGGCTCTCGGCCGGGTTCATCTTCAAACGGCACCGACCGCCCACCGTCATCCTCGATCGAGACATATTTTGGCCATGGGTAGGCCGAACGATCGATTTCGCGGCCGATCGTCGGGATCCGACCCGGTCCTTCCTAACGAGTTACGAGAGCCACACGTTTCTGTTCGAGGAGATGGTCGTCCGTGTCGGTGGTTAGCTTCTGGCGAAACCGAAGGACGGGCGAAGGTGAGAGTGAGGAAATACGCGAGGCGGCCTCCACAGTGGGGTCTGGGAATTCGCTTTCCGCGGCTTAAATTATTTTAGCGTTGTTTCAAGATTTAACCCTTCGCGCTCGAGACTATTTTAGCAACAAAATGAAGGCATCTGTCTCAACCTTATAGTAATTCCATTTTACAAGATTGTTTTTATTTGACACGTATCAAATTGAACGAATATGCTTGTAGAAGACTTCTATTCATTTGATAATTCATCGAATACAGGCAAATTTAATAATAGGGAAATTCTTTTGAAAATAGCGCGGCAATTTATAGCGTCGCCTCAGAGTCGCCACTCGAGTACAAAGGGATAACGTTACAGAATAATAGGTCGTTGAATTCGTCTCAATAGCAGCTAGAATATTATCGAGTCGAAGACATGTATTAACATGAAAAAAATTAAGGTGACCGGCAATTTTTTGTAAAAAGAAAATTTTTCTTGAAAATTTTCGTATTCCAGTATGTAGAAGAGCGAATACTGATCAAGTTTTGTCGGTGACATTTTTTTGGCAGATCATCGAAAATGGCTGAAGAATCGTGGTTTGTTTAGAAATTGTGTACGAGCGTTCTGTGTGCGCAGCGATATGCCAGCACAAAATATAAAATAACCTCCAACGTCTACATGTACAAATCTGTAAATATTTACAATCGAAAACCAGAAGGAACCGCACTTCACATTGGCAACAATTTCTTAAATACAAACTTTGACAATATTGACATTATTTTGGAATTACCGCTTAAAACCATTTTTATTGGCGCCTTAAAATCGCCATTCGACTACAAAGGCTTAATAATGTAAGTAGGATACATTTTCTCGTTAATATCATCGCGATACTGCTTCAAGAAAACTGAGCCGAATCGATTTTTATCGTCCAAATGTTCGCGAAGTCAGCAATATAATGACACCGATTTCCAGAGTGTCAATATTCTTCCAAGGTGTTGTCGACGCATAGGGGAAGAAATTTTGTTCGAATATGAAAGTGGGAAAATTGAAATTTGGCCGCAAATTATTGGTTCCNGACCTAGCACCCTCCGATTATCACTTGTTTCTCTCTTTGCAAAACTTTTTACAGGAAAAAAATTCAAAACCGAAGCTGATGTCAACCGAGCACTAGTTGAGTTCTTCGTCTCTAAAAATAAATCGTTTTTTAAAAATGGCATTCACAAGTTGCCATCACGCTGGCAAGAAGTCATAAGTAACGATGAAAAGTATATTCTACAATAAATATTATTAAATGTATGAAAATTGTGTTATATTTCAATTCAAAAACGAACAGAACTTTCCGGTAGACCTAATATAATCGAAGTTCCATCGTACCACCTAAAGTAGTACACGCGACTCTCTGAAAAGCGCGCGTGAAATCACCGATCCCGGTTCACGCAACAACCCAATTAATTCGTTCGAAACACCGAACACTCCCTGCTCATTAAGCGGACTCTATAATAATGAGAAAGGATTTGCTACACAGTTGAACATAGCGGGGCCGGCCTCGGACGGCTCTCGGCCGGGTTCATCTTCAAACGGCACCGACCGCCCACCGTCATCCTCGATCGAGACATATTTTGGCCATGGGTAGGCCGAACGATCGATTTCGCGGCCGATCGTCGGGATCCGACCCGGTCCTTCCTAACGAGTTACGAGAGCCACACGTTTCTGTTCGAGGAGATGGTCGTCCGTGTCGGTGGTTAGCTTCTGGCGAAACCGAAGGACGGGCGAAGGTGAGAGTGAGGAAATACGCGAGGCGGCCTCCACAGTGGGGTCTGGGAATTCGCTTTCCGCGGCTTAAATTATTTTAGCGTTGTTTCAAGATTTAACCCTTCGCGCTCGAGACTATTTTAGCAACAAAATGAAGGCATCTGTCTCAACCTTATAGTAATTCCATTTTACAAGATTGTTTTTATTTGACACGTATCAAATTGAACGAATATGCTTGTAGAAGACTTCTATTCATTTGATAATTCATCGAATACAGGCAAATTTAATAATAGGGAAATTCTTTTGAAAATAGCGCGGCAATTTATAGCGTCGCCTCAGAGTCGCCACTCGAGTACAAAGGGATAACGTTACAGAATAATAGGTCGTTGAATTCGTCTCAATAGCAGCTAGAATATTATCGAGTCGAAGACATGTATTAACATGAAAAAAATTAAGGTGACCGGCAATTTTTTGTAAAAAGAAAATTTTTCTTGAAAATTTTCGTATTCCAGTATGTAGAAGAGCGAATACTGATCAAGTTTTGTCGGTGACATTTTTTTGGCAGATCATCGAAAATGGCTGAAGAATCGTGGTTTGTTTAGAAATTGTGTACGAGCGTTCTGTGTGCGCAGCGATATGCCAGCACAAAATATAAAATAACCTCCAACGTCTACATGTACAAATCTGTAAATATTTACAATCGAAAACCAGAAGGAACCGCACTTCACATTGGCAACAATTTCTTAAATACAAACTTTGACAATATTGACATTATTTTGGAATTACCGCTTAAAACCATTTTTATTGGCGCCTTAAAATCGCCATTCGACTACAAAGGCTTAATAATGTAAGTAGGATACATTTTCTCGTTAATATCATCGCGATACTGCTTCAAGAAAACTGAGCCGAATCGATTTTTATCGTCCAAATGTTCGCGAAGTCAGCAATATAATGACACCGATTTCCAGAGTGTCAATATTCTTCCAAGGTGTTGTCGACGCATAGGGGAAGAAATTTTGTTCGAATATGAAAGTGGGAAAATTGAAATTTGGCCGCAAATTATTGGTTCCCAGACCACTGTGCGGCCGCGGAACGGGAGACGCGAGACCGGGAGGAAAAGAGAGAAAGCAAGAGAAAGAGGGAGAGAGCGAAAGGGAGAGAGCGAAAGGGAGAGAGCGAAAGGGAGAGTGAGAAAGATGAAGAAGCTGAGGGTGGAAGAAGCAGCGAGGGAAAGAGGTAGAGAGAGGAAAAAGGAGAAAGAGGTGGAGAGAGAGAGGAAGTGGTAGAAAGAAGAAAAGGTATAGAGAAAAAGTGGTAAAAAGAAAAAGGGGTAGAGAGAGAGAGAGAGAGAGAGAGAGAGAGAGAGAGAGAGAGAGAAATAGGTGGTGTGAGGAAGAGCAGAGGGAGAGAGAAAGTGTAGAGAAAGAGAAAAAGAGCGGCAAAGAGTGAGGAGGAGCTAGAGAGACAGGAATAGTAGCGTGAGGGTGAGAGGAAGAGAAAAAGCAGGAGATAGAGAGAGAGAAAATGAGAAAGAGAAAGAGTGAGAAAGTAGTAGAGAGACAGAAATATTAGAGAGATAAAGAGAAAGGAGGTAGAAAGAGAAAACGAGGAGAAAGAGCGAAAAAGTGGCAGAGAGGGAGAAAGAGTAGAGAGACGGAAATAGTAGAGAAAGCGAAAAAGAGTGAGAAAGAATAGAAAGTCGGAAAGAGTTAAAGAGACAAAAATAGTAGAGATAGAGAGTAAGAGCAGATAAGAGAGAAAGAGAGAAAGGAGAAGGTAGAGAGAGGGCGAGAGGAAGCGAGAAAGAGGGAGAGGAAGATAGGGACAGGGCGAACGCCAGCAGGGTGGAACAGAGAAAGCTGAAATCGCGTGGGAGCGAGAAAGAGGAAGAGGTTTGAACCCCTTCTACGGGGGATCGTACTCCCTCCGAGCTTCTCTCCATCTCCTCCGCCGCTTCCTCTTCCTTCTCCTCTCTGTCACCCCCTCGGGCCCCGGTCCCTTCCTTTCTCGCGGCCGGAAAGTAATCAATACTTTGGAAAGGTGCGGGGTTGGAGCACACCGCCTGTAAGTCGCGGCGTCATAGGAGTTTCACGCGAATTCTATGCGTAACTATCGCCAGGGCCCGAAGAGCAAAGGCCAAGGACAATTGCCCGGCAGAGACACACTCGACGCCGGCTCGAACGCGTGGCTTCTTTCTAGTCATCATCGTCCTCTGTCCGCCACAAAAAGTGACTCGGAACGTACACGTGTGATCCAAGTTTTCCGGTTGATAACGTGACCACTTTTACGCCGAACCTACTCTGTGTAGTAGCCGGTCCCCCTACGACCGGTTCCATATTTTGTTCGAACATTGTTAAGATTGTAAAAGACCTTCTCGTCGGAAACGCGAATTCAATCAATTGCTCGACGTATGCCATTCGTCAGAAATCATGTTACTCTAGTCGGAATAAATCCGAAGTCTTGTAACTCTTACGAGGCAACGCGTGTCGGACATCTTTGCTGCTCGGTAGGTCTTAGTGTTAACGAAGTTTGAAATCTAGATACGGTAGAAGCTCGGCTATCCAAACCGAATGGGAAAATATATGAGCCGTTTATTTTGAAAGCGGCATAAGTCACTTTGTTTTTAAGGCGATATATTTAAAGGTTTGCGTTTTAACACGTTTAAAAATATGGATGCTAACTTTCGAGAAGATTTACTCGTATTTGTTATCTCAGGATACTGATATTTTTCTCAGTATAAATAATTTCGTGTAAACATTAAAAAATCACCACTTTTCATTACGGTAAAGTGACTTATACCACTTTCAAAATAAACGGCTCATATACGATTGGATGATAGGATCATTGCTTGGGTAGAGTGATAGTTTAACCTTGTAAGCGGTGTAGACCAGATTTTTATACTTTGCACATTTTTCAGATAATCGCATCGAGTACAGTTTGTTTCAGCATGATCGTCTAGAATTGTTACAAAATGTCTGACATTTGTTCCACGACTATTTCAATTGGAACAGCAAGAATGAATGTTGTCGTTTCTCCTATCTTAACTCGCCATTCATAGCTAAGAAGCTGAATGTTTTTACTAATTTTCGTAAGATACTCGCAGCTGGACTGCGGATTTTTATGCAAAATAAAACTTGTCTGCGTTAATTACAAAATATACAGGTGCTATATAGATATTTATTTCGTTACTTAATCATTTTAATCAGTTGAAGATAGTACAACAGTGTTTCCAAATTTCTTAAACGTTTTTACCGTTTTGTATCTTTTTAACTCACTTTTGCTACAAGCGAATAAAATCCGTAGTTTACTTACACCTTAAGATTGAGCTATTTACACGATTATCAGAGGTTCTATTATAATTTTACTTGCAAACTGGACGAATCAGTTATGTAAATATTACAACGTTACTCGAAACGTACCTAATAATTTCAGAAAACCAAGTACAGCTGTGTTAGGCTTAAAAGGATGATCGGAAATAAAAGTAAAAATTTTGGAGACATTGAAAATACCGTCTTCGCTACATTGGATCGCGAAGGCAGGTTTTTGAGACGCGCATTTAGCGGAATTCGAATGGACAAGCTGTCGGGTAAGCTGCACGTTCCGTGCCGGAAATTATAAAATAATGCACGTTAGATATTCGTGTCAACCGTGTCATGCACTCGAACGGTAAATTTTGTATTAATCTATTTTGAAAGACGTTCGCAGGCCCCCGGTGGGTAAGTTTGCGCGAATAGCGTGACGTTTAAATGCATTTATCTTGGGCAGAGTAAACTGCATTCCACCCCTCGTCTGTCCTGACAATCGCGCGCGCTGCCTTCCGAGAAAATTTAATTAACTGACAGCTGATTTTGGACACGTATGAAAGAAACGTTTTTTCGGTGACGTTTTACGTTACGATCGCTTCTCCCATAGCGGAGATATTAGGTCATTAAGTATGATATGCACGTTTTACCCTATTATAGTTTTACTATGAAATTTTGATACTCAGACACGTAATACATAAATACACTGTGTCCATAATTTTCCGGATATTTAAATATTCGTAAATATCGTTCAAATATCTTAGAAATGTAGTTTATTTTATGAATTAATTATACTGTCCTAAAAGCTCAACGTTACTCTTGGACATTATGATCAATGCCTATCAATAAACAATATTCCTTGAAATGCTGAAGTGTCTCAGATTGAAGTTGTGAGACTTACCTGCTAAACAGACCAATGTATGCTTAAACAATTAAAGCGACACTGTTTACTAATAAATGTTGCTCATAATGTGCAAGAATAACATTAAGTTTGTAGGACAACATAATTAATCCATAAAATAAGCTATATTCGTAAGATATTCGAACGATATTCGCGAATGTGTAAGAGTCGGGAAACTTGTGGATGGTGTGCGTATGTGTATAGTTGGCCGAGTTAATTAAGCTTCACGAGTATCAACCGTCCAGTTATATTTAACTTGACGATTTTATTACGAAAGATGCTATCTAGAAGTACAAGTGTGAATCTAATAAGTTAAGAACTCAACGGTTCTATCATATTGCTTGCACTGACAAGAGGGGCGAGCGGTTTTTCAACGAAGCTTGGAACGATGTATATAGGGGATGACGCGTGCAAATTGGTGAATAACTTTTTAACAAATAACACGACCATCTGACAATTTAAATTAGTTGTGAGAAACGTGATATTAAAATAACGATATTTATACTTTTATATGCTTTTTAAAGGGTCACAATTATCGGCAGTTTTGTGCCCGACATATCCGATTGCAAAGGGATAAAGTGCATAATTTATTTATTGAAATAAAAACCGAAAATTTAAGATGTATTTAGATCTCACATTTTGCTCTGGTCCTAATCAAATATCCGATACACTGAATATATCAACCCTATGCAGTCGAATGGCGACTCCGCGGCGCCACTAAAAATGTCTCTACCACGTTTCAAAATAATTTTAACATTATCAAATTTCTTCGTGTTTTAGAAACTGTTAAAAATGTAAATATTGTACGAGCCAATAGCTTGAATTTCATGGGCAAATAGTGTAATAAACCGTATCAAATTGAAATATCGAAGATCGGTAAAAGTGTCTTGGATTTCGAGTTAAAATAACTTCGAGAGCGCAAAAGATTCAAAATTAATAACATAATTTCGAATCCAATTCTGCCGACTCGAACACAATTTTCCTAAAGTCTATACGGAGATTCGCGCGCTGAATTTCGCGTATCAGAAATCAGCGTACCGACATTTCTGGACATCCG